ATTGCACAAAACCAATATACTAATTCACTTCGTGAATGAGTATAAAAATATATATGTATAATGAGAAAATAAAATTACTGCTGAGAGGTTTACGTTTCGTTTCGAATCACAATCAAAAATAGAAGTGAAAAATGTGTTTAGCATACAAAACAAAAACTTGAAATTCAACAAAATAAAAGACGAGTTTAATTCCAATTGATAATGAGTTGACATAGCAATACTCTTATTTTTGGATCATTTATGTGTATGATTTTACTTTACAGCTATAAATAATGTATTTATCAGATATATAGTTTAATGTACCAACTTATCATTGGGAACTCGGTTTTAAATTACATATTTTAGTTAACATACATACGTAAACCGAAAAATAAGATAGTACCATATTTATGTTTTGCACGATAAAGGTAATTTTCAGAGTATACAATATTCTATATAGGAAGAATGACAACAAAGATCTAACTATCCTGTGCATAGATATCTGGAATTATTAATTCACAGTCTACACAATACAAATCAGATCAGTTTTTTTTTTTCATGACTATAATCAAACGAGTGACCTTCATCTTGATCTGAACCCGGACAAGAGTCTGACTAAACCGCTATACATATAAATTATATCGTGAATGGGCTCATTGATGATATTACATATAGATTTACATACTTTTGTGTTAAAAGTAAAGCACAAGCATTACATTTTTGTAATTACAGTAATGACAGAGAAGCCTATACAAATACAAAGGCATACACATACACACACACAATTGCTCAATTTGTGTAGGCGTTTTCTTTTTATCAGGCTACAAAAGTCTATCAAAAGCCCTTCACCTCCGACAAAGGGAGTGATTCGTAATTGAAAGTTGACTTTTGATCTCGACAATTGAATGGGAGAGAGTCTTGCAGTAACTCAATTGATTTATGTTTTATACATAAATAAACAAGCATATAGCCGTTATATACATATGTAGCGTTATCAGCTTTAGCATATTATTGTATTGTATCAACTAGAAGCTGTTTAAGCAAACAGAGAGCCTAACGAGCTGATTAGAAATATGATATATGATATTTAAAGCAATAAACATCAAAAACAAAAGTAGGGCATATTTATACCTATATATAAACATACATATTTCCCTTAATATATGTATGTATACATATAAATCAACGTAATTTACTCAAATGGTAATTGAATGAAGCACTTTCTTTATACAAAGTAGCTAATATATGTATATGCATGTGGTTGTGTTTGTGCGTGTGTATGCATTAATGTGTTTGCGCGCTTGTTTGGTGGGTGGCTAGAACAACTGAGAAACGACCACGTATGCCAAGGCTACGACAGCGTCTATTGGCAAGGACAAGGACGAAAATAGCCCTGTATTCTATGGCACGGGGAATGTCAACAACGCCCACGCATACCTACAAAGCAATGCGCGCACACACACAACACAAGTATACAAAAGCCCGGACGCGCACTCAGAACTCACCTCGATGTTACACATTGTTTGAAATGCAGTGAAAACAAACATAAAGCCAAAGCCGAGTATTAATATCATCACGAATTTCATCTCCATTTTGTCGGATTATTGTTATTTGTTCCTTGTAAGCTGTTGAAGATTTATCTATTTATTGATATTGCACATATCAGACCGTACAGCATTTGACGTCACAAACAATACGTTAGACTCGGGGGAAGCAGAAACGTAGACGTTAGTAGAAACTGCGACTTTTAATTAATGTTTAGCGCGGGTAAATTATAAAATCACTTTTTACTTATGCAAATTATTTAACAAGTGCTTAAAATAATAAAATGCAAGGCAAAGAAAGCTTCACAGAAAATTGAAACCGAAATCACAAAAATGTTTGACGCGCTGGGTTAATGTGCGTATGCGATGAGGTTTGATAGTGGATTGAAACGAGCAAGAGAAAATGTCAAGTGTAAATATACACAATGTTAAAAGAGAATGCAGTCATGTTAATATTTCAACTCAATGTGGCACTGTTAGCACCGTAAGAAGTCAGCTGTTACAGGCAAACCAGTTATCATATAACCGTCGCAATATAGTATTTTTTGCTATCGATTTCATAACAATCGAAAAATGCCGGAATGTTTTAAAGTCCAAGAAGTGCTTATATTTATTTTTGCTAGTTGGCTTAACGGTTAGCATTAACTGAAAGCAGATGTGTTCTAAATCGAAGCGATATCATTAGTATATTGGGAACCACGGTCAGGCCAGGTCAACGAACGGTCTTGGTAATGTGGCAATCGTATTCAAGGGGGTTCACCATCGGCAGAAGCGCTATGCTTGTACGGGAATGAAAGCATATTGAAGAGTTCGTTCGTATATACTTTCTCATTGAACGTTTGATGGGAGCACGGTCTCTGCTTGGCTTTGCTTTCGATCGTTTTGCCTTTGATTTCGATACACGCTTGTCGCGGTTCACGGATGTTTTCCTTGCCGACGAAGAGCGTTTGTTGCTTACCCTGGAATCTAAGTCACATGTAGGTATTCCAGTATATTTTATTTTGGCGCACTTGATGGTATGCCGAATGGCATAGCTCGATGATCCAGTGCGAGCCAGAATGCCCAGATCGGTCAGATTAGACAGCGATTGATAGATTATCTCGTCCACATTGACCATTAGCAAAGAACTTTTCACATGCCGATTAATCAGCTCAGCGGGGACAAATCCGGCCAGCGATTCCTGCAATTCGAAGACGGTCTTATAAACAAGCTGATTGACTTCCTTTGGCACATTAAAACTATCCATGTTAAATCAATGAAACAGTAATTTGGAAAAAAAAAAAGATTTGAAATGCTCGTGTAAAATTATAAAAATGTAAAATGTATATATTCTCGTGCGCTTTGCCCAGATTGTGATTTGTTTTGTGCAAGTTCCCGAAGTGTTCTGAAACAGTTTAGGTCGAGTCGAATTCTTGTGCTGGGAGTAAAAGGCAAAGGCTACTTAGGTTTAAAAGCTAAAACGAAGAGATTTTCGATTTTATTTATAACAATTTGTTGCGAAAAATTCATTTATGTGTTCAAGAGGTTTGTGTGTATGTGTGTGTAACATAGATCGTTTATTATATATATAGTAGTCATATAATATATATATTTATATATAGTATATATTTTACGATTTATTGGATTCGGGTTAGTTCATTTTTTTGGTGTACCATAAACACTAAAATCTTTTTCTTTTTGCAGGTATTTATCGTTATAAATAATTTTTTCATTTCATTTAAGTGAATCTTTTGCTTGTTACAAACTGGAAAGGCTCCACACATATATCCAATCGAACCATAAATAAAATTTCTTTGTGGTCGTTCATAACATAGGTAATAGTGTATATCGTAGTATGGTATGTGTATGTATATAAGTATAAAGGTAAATATATGACCGCTGTCCGAGCGCTGCTCCGAACGGGGTACTCAGTACACCTGATCGGCATTCGGAAGGGGCGATATCTAGGCATTTCCAAAATAAGCAAATGTGGAGCGAATAAAAAAACGATTTCCAGAGCTGGTTTAACACAGACGGTACACAGTTATTGATAAACAACAGATATTTATCATCAACATTATTTCTTAAAATTATTTAAAAGGGGTTCAGCTTGTTTCTTTTTTTGTTGCTGTTTTTGTTTTTGTTTTTAGCTTTGCTCTGATTTGCTTTGTTGCGGCTTTGATTAGCTGCTGCTGCTTTTGATATTATTAAGTCAGCATTCGTTTTTGTTTTAAACGGAAATATTCAATATTCATATTTTGTTAATCTATTTCTGCGTTTGTTTTCAATTAATTTCATTCCGGCGACCGTGCGACAAATCCACAATCAATCCACAATTTATTCGCTTTTTTTGTGTGTAATCACGGCATCGTCGATCTCCTCCTTGGGCTGATCCTTATCGCCCCAGCCCCAGGTGGCGTGGGTGCCATCGCCGGTACGCTTCACACGCTTCTTGATAATGTCGGGGGACACGCTCTTTAGGTCGTAGGCCCAGCCAATCTTGGCGAAGAAATCAATGAAAGCCGTGGTCAGATTTAGCGAGTATTTGCCAAACTCAGCGGTCTTGTAGTCCCAGGGGAACACATGATGATAGTTGTGCCAGCCCTCACCGAAAGCGAGCATCGCGACCGAGATGTTCTCCGAAGGATTGATGAACCTAACGAGAATGCAGAAAGAGAGAGAGTTGTTAAAAAGAGTTTTAGTGATTTCGTGGCTATTGAACTCACCTGTCATAGGGACGGCCACCGAATTTGTGTGCAGCACTGTTCACCAACCAGGTCACATTCAGGATGAAGCACCAGCGGAACATGGTGGCCACGAACCAGGCGTTCACAAAGCTCTCGCCCCAGAAGTACATGGGTGCCACAGTGGGCAGGATGAAGCAAGCCAGGGGCATCAGGATAAAGTAGTGCCTGAGAAGAATGGAAGTATTTAGTTAATTGTCCAAGAGCTTAGCTTGACTAGGCACTCACTTCTTCTGGAACATCAGGATGGGATCGGCACGCAGATCGGATAGGTCGACACCCTTGCCCTTGGCCTTCACCTCGGGATGCTTCTTGCACAGCAACCAGCCAATATGCGAAAAGAAGAAGCCGCGCGTGGCATTGTGGGGATCGGCATCGGTCTCCGAGTACTTGTGGTGCACACGATGATCGCGGGCCCAGTGGTAGGCGGCATCCTGGAAGGCAACTGTATTGAAGATCACCAGCAGCACGCGCAGCGGCCACTTAGCCTTGTAGGAGCGATGGGCCCATAGACGGTGAGCGCCAGCCGTAATGCCCAAGCCAGAGACAACATAAAGAGCGAAAGCTATAATAACAAGATTATATACATACATATATTAATACAATGCCAGCTATATATATTATTATTAGATTAGAGATTACAACTAAGAATTTAACATTGTGTCATAACATAAAATTTTATAATCGCTGATTAGTCATCTATATCTGAAGCTTTGTTTCCTTTATACTCGATGTTACGTATGGCATATGCCTTTCTATCGGCGCTAGTCGATAGGACGCCAAGCATTGTCAGGTTGAACAGCGAGCACTCGACCTGAAAGTCCAGACGATGCACTGGATTGCGATTACGCATCGTATATTTCACGTGCTCCTGTATATCGGAGAATGGCGCATAGTCCAAATTCTCAATGTCCGTAATATACCTAATGGCCTTTAGCACATGGCGATTCACCTTGCGAGGCACTCGAAAATTATCCATCATATGTCTTTTTGTGAATATATATGTATTTTAAAATGTATACAGCAAATGTTTTGTTTATGTTCTGTGATTTATGTGACAAAAAAAAATTGTCGACAGATATTGCTACGTTCTGATTGGGCATTGTTTCGGCATGTTAATTGCAAATTATTTAAATATTCATACTGAATATTGAATATTTATATCTATTTAATATTCTCTACAGACAATAACAAATAGTCTCCGATTGTAATTCATTTACATCTTGCTTAATCGCTCATATCACTATATATTATAATAGAGAAATGTTCCATCTATCAATTGTTGATTTTGATTTGAATTGCGCACTAAGCTTCGCCTAAATTGGGCACTATATTAATTCGTGTCTGATCTATTGGACTATATGATATGACTTTGGCCCAATGTTATCAGTGCCAAATTTGAAATAAACAACGCTGATAACCTTGCAATTGAAATGCGAGGCACGCGACGCCAAGATGACAAACAATGAATTCATATTAAACATTCTACTGATTGCCATGCGGTCTGTTTGTCTGTCCGGCTGTTGTCAACTCACCCAGAACGATTGTCTGCCATTTGGCCGAGGTAAAGATTAGCCATGCGCCGTAGACGGCAGCCAAGTGTAGATATCCGAATGCAATTATGTTGCGCCAGACGAGCTTCAGTTTGCGCCTGTCGGCCTTCTTCATGGACACAATGTCCTTGACGAGGCCGCCATCGATGGTCTCGGCATCGCACTCGAAGAGCACGCCAGTCGAGTCCTGCTGCAGTTTCGTGGGATTCTGCTCTGATTCAGCGGCAGCTGTTGCCGCGGCAGAGAGCAGCGAGTCTGTAATCGACTGGCCTCCAGCGGTTGCGTTTGGCGGCATAGTGTGTTAGTGTTTGGTACCAGCTGTAGTCAAGAGACAGAAAATAAAAAGACATTAAATTTTAAATGAATGCATTGCGCAATTAGTTAAGCAAATTGACTAAGCTGAACTTGACACGCTTTACCCATAGGTGACTAATTTTGGGTGTCGTTATAACTCTTTAATTATTACCCAATTTGTTGTCATTATACATACATACATATGTATGTAGTTGCACGCTAGTTGGCGTTAGTACTTTTTGTTGCTGCAGTTCACAGCAAAAATCAATATTTTCAAGGCTGATGTCCTTGCTGAAGGATAACGTGCAGTACAGTGAAAGCACGCTTGAATGAACATTCACTCTTTCTCTCTCATACATATTATCATTAAATTCTGTCAACTTTGTTGCTTTTTCAGCTTGCGCTCGTTCCATGACCAATCAAATAGGGAAATTAATAAGAATATTGGGACCAAAATAAATACTGCCGGCTAAACGGCATGTCTGTAGCTTTTACTGTTGATAATTTAAATGCCGGCACGACAACAACAAATCATGGTGTGCTCACACACACAGAGACACATGTGGGTCACTGGGCGACTAATGTGAAGGCCAAGCTTGCAAGATTGTGTACACACTTGTTTCTGTGTGGGTCATGGAAAATTTCCCAGCTTCAAATTTGCTATACAAAAACACTGACACATTAGCAACAACAAATTAAGAATGAAAGATGTATGCATGTATAAATAACTATTGAGACAACTCAGCAAACGCAAAGTAACATCAATTAGTAAATGCACTATTTATTTATTTTGTATGTGTGAACATCTATACTATAGGTCTACCTTTGAAGACGTCTAACAAGTTTTTTGACAACCTGCCAATCGGAGACTCAATTTTCAACTGTTGAACAGAAAATTTGCGCAAAACCAAACAAGCGTGTAGTGTACATACATACACACATATAAATGTATGTAGTATGCTAAAGCTTTCTGCTTACGCAAAAGCTTTGGCAATATACATACAACAAATTGCTTTTCTATGCCGGTGAAGCTTTTGCAGGTGTCCATAAACAGATTAGAAGAAATATTAATAAGTAAACGCAGACATCGAATGATGTTTAATAATTCAGGGTCAGGGTTTTGTATTCTGCTGGCATTTAATCACGTTGCTTTATTGCTTCGAGGGTAAAATAGCTATTAACTATTAAATCCAAAATGTTATTAAAGACCATATGTTGTTTGTATACAGAAAACATATATATATAGGAAAACACGTCAGCTTAAGCAGTTGTATTCTCTTTTCCGTGTAAATTACGTTACCACCTTGCACTGCATTATTAACATTGAAATATGAGCCACGTGTGTAAGTATGTATGTATGCTTAAAGTCATACGATTCCTACACCAGCCTCTAACAACCGTGCACGACAGAGACAGCATAATGGCAAGAGCAAGCAATTCAGTTGGGCTTGTTTGTACAGTACGATTGAACGTGCTTGTGTGTGTGTGTGTTTGTGTGTGTACTTTCAATTCAAAAGAATATTTAGAAATTGACTAAAAGAGCAGATCACCAACAAAAGCTTTACCACTATGGCGCACTCTCTGACTTTTTCCTCGTCGCGTGAGCCCATCAGCTGTTTACATGTGTTGCTGGTGGTAACATAATTTGTATCAAAACCGGCAACCCGCTGCCAACGTCGGCGTTGTTGTTTTCTTTTTTAGCTTTTTGTAAATTTGTGATTATGACGGAACAAGCATTTGATAAAGCCTACCCCGCATTGATATTGAACTTGAATTTTATGTGCACGTAGCCCCATTGGCGTCAACGCACACAGATGAGAGTGCGAGAGTAGACATAGAGAGAGAGCATTACACTGGGAGAGTGAGAGAGCGCAAAGTGAGCGAAAAAGAGCTTGATTCACCGACCGGCATCACGATGCAAAAGCGTGTTCCGCTCTGCTCAACGCATAAAATCTGGTTGTCTCGGTCATTCTCTATTGATGCGTCTAATCTAGTAAATTGCGTTTTTGAATTTGCGAAAACTAAAGCTTTCCGGTAGAATTTTACCATTATTGGATTTATGATAGAGTATTTTCTGCGTACTATGCACAATGTAAATAGCAACAAAAAACTTTGTTCAATTAAGCGATTAAAAAGTTCAACTTAAAGTTCAACGTACGAAAAATTATACAACACAAATAAGAGAGCTACGTTTTAATTCAGTTCTAGTTTGAGTGAGGTAAGTGTTCATTGGCGTTACAGCACCTAATTACACATTCGTCCCTATGTATGTATATCGATATAAATATATGGATATATTCCGAATACGAAGAGCACATAATTATTATTCATTTAAGCATTAATGAATCTTTTAGTCGAAAGGGTCAGCTTAAGTATGCTAAATACATGGTCGAGCAGACTAACGCCGCAAGCTAACTATACAAGATTTGTATAAAGTATCTGCGCCTAGGTCTCTAACCTTCAGTAAATAGACGCGTTGACCGTTAAAGTACAGCCTTCAGAAGTTAAGAGTTGGAAAAAAATACAAATTTTATGATTTGCATGATCAACAGATCGCTTGGTAGCAATAAAAAGCTCTCAAAGATTTTTTTGTTTAAAAGGTTTTTTTTTTTTTTTTTTGGTAGTGTATTTTGTATGTATACTCTTGGCTTGTCTCTTGGGTCACTTGGCTATAGTCGAACGTTTGCGTATTAGTTAATGGTTTACGTAAACACTTGCAAATCCTGTCGCAACAGACAAACGTCAACATAAACGTCTGCACATATGTACTAACCTGTTTTGCTGATGAAGTAAATATAGTTTGCTTTTCGCGGTTTTTCTTTTGATGAATTTACAAAATAAAACCTTTGGTTTATCACTTTATTTTTGCACAGAGTATTTGTATGAATTAGTAACAAAGCGGGCAACGTTGAGACACGTCCGCACGCTCTGATGTCTCAGCACACACTGAGAGCCAGTCGAACCGAGTGGTGAAATTTAAACCATTTTTTTCGCTCTCAAAACTTTGACGTTGGCAGAGACGCAAAACTTTTACTGCCCCTTTCTTAGCATTTATTATTGATATGCCTGGTGCTTGGGCACTTCTAGCTGTACATACATTCACACATATATATGTGTGTACATAATATAGGCACGCGTTCATCAGCACAGATTAGCTCGGGAGATTACGATCAACTGAATTTGCACGTATGCACTTCTCATAGAACTTTGCGAATTTCGCAAAATTTGCTCAATTGAAAGTACGTTAATGAATGAAAATGACTTTGGAACGTAATTTGAACCCTTCAAAAACAACTTACGGACATTGTCAATAGATCAATTACAATTAAAGTTACCGCTGCAATGCAAATTAAACAATTACCTAAAGTACACAACACGAGAATCTTATAGTAAATAGTGCACTCTGCCCTCAGTATGAAAATATGTGCATGGATATCGAACAAGGAAACGAGATTACCAAATGCTAAACTTTGATAGAAGTTCAAAAATGAAATGCCATTTATAACTTACTTAAGTGGCTAAACGTGATAATAAATTTTAGAAATGTGTACGATTTATTACTCTACTTGGGAAAGTAACACACCTTATAGATGGAACTTGTCACATAATTATTGTGTATAGAAAGAAAATACGAATTTTGATATGCCAATTTTGTTAAACTATTAAAAATTGTCCGAGTTCGATCTTTAAATATTTTAGTAATAACAAACAATATGCAATCTATTTCAGGTTTTTGATATGCTGCTTCGACATAAGACAGGTATTTAATCAAATTGTTGTTCTTTGTCAATGCAAAGCATGTAGTCAAAGCTCCTGCTGGTTTTGATTTTCTAGTTTCAAGATTATCTATTGTTATACAAATAGTTTGACTTCCATATGCAGAGGGAGACAAAACATAGAGATTAGCATTTTCTAGTAGTGCGACTGACCATTAGACATTAGATAACAAAATTTAGTGATAAGCCCAATATGTTTATTAACTTTAAAACATGTGCGCACGAGAGTTTGGGAAAAAAATAAATAACAAAATGTTATTGTTTATGAAAATAGTAAAAAAATTGAAATAAATGTAATTAACATGTCTAACTTCCTCTGACTCTTGTGTGGCATGGAATTGATAAGGTCCTGCTTGGTAAAGTCCTTTCAGTGCCATTATTTCATCTACATCTCTGGGCTTAAGTAACAGAATTTGTTCGCTCTCTTTGGACTCTATCGTAAACAGACTATGAAAATAATTTGGTTGTTTCATTTGGTTTATCTTTTTTGTACTGTAAACAGACCATATTGTATATGCATATGTTTATATTATTACTAAAACTGAACTAATGATAAATAACTGCTCGAAGAATGTAAGCGATACGCCCAGCTGTTTTTTGATCGTAAACGATAGAAACAACTGTTGCTTGATCGTAAACGGCATTCACTCCAGCTGTTGATGCAACTGCATATGCATATCCATGCCTACATGCATGCATTTCTTTCAGTTTAACATGCAATTGCGCATGGAAAAATTCGAAATGAACTTAAAAGTCAATTAGATTATAACTCGATTCTAATCGATTAGGCGTGCGCTTAGCACGGTATAAGATTCACGTAAATTAATTAACCCTACAAAACTGCAATCTAAGGTAAGTTATATGGAAAGACCTAGGCGCAAGGCTACTATTTAAATTCATTTTATTTATTTTTTTTTTATGGAAATAAAATACCCGCTGCTTTCACAAAAAAAAAAAAAAAAAAAAAAAAAAAAAAAAAAAAAAACAAAACCTTTGACTTCAAAGTTGATAAACCATATCAAAAACACCATAATTGCGTTAGTCTTTTATAAATTTAGAATTCATATTTATATATAAAATTATTACGATTTTGGCTCCCCTATTTTCAGAAATGATCAAAGTAGTGAACATAGGACATTTTGTGCTCTTCATCAAAATATCAGTGATTACAAAATATAAAAATTTGTCGATTCCAAATTATGGCTCTTATGTTTTGGACAGTTGTCCTGATGATATGTCCTTGTTATGGGCATTTTCCATATGGCGATTGGGAGCATAACCTGTCATGATATTCAATCAATCTTGTGGATTTAGCCAACTCCGTTAAATGAGAAACAAGGCCAAATCATGATTTATAAGCCATTCTCTCACTGTTGTTTTTGTGAACACAGCTTTGCATTTGTATGCACTTTATTTTGTCAGCTACTTTTATGCACCTACGCAAACACATCATACCCATTTCCACAATTTTCAATAGGGTAGAAGATGTGAACGTGTAATAGTTCAAAGGAAAACGCGTGATTTCAAACAATTTCCGAGTGGAAATAAAATCCCTTATCTACATGTACATAGAATTCATCACCTTGCGTCATTGCATGCAACGTGATGTCACTCGGAGACTGTGTGCTGCGCAACAAAATATTGTTTAGGTACACAATTCTAATCTGTTAAGAAATAAATTCTTGGATTTTTTCTTTTTTGCAACGTGCGAAATGCGCACTTGGCTGTTGATATACATTTATGTACATATATATTTTGGCAATATATGGATTGTTTTTAATTGTGAGCAAGGTCAATCCAAATTTATATATAGTTTTGCAACTTACTTGTACAATTATTAACCAATTTAGTTGTTTAAATCCAAAATTACACTAATGTCTGCAAAAAAGTTTCTAGAGAGGAGAAGTTCTTGACTTCTCGAAAAATAAGTATCGAGCTCATAACACGATATTTATGCCAAAAGACATGATATCGATGTTGGGTAAAAGTTGGATAAAAAAAATCGTTTTCAAAATTCTTTTAATTCTTAAATTTTGTAATTTTGGCTTTCGTCATTGTTTAATTTTCAGCATTTTTTTTTTTACAAAATACAATCAAGCCCAGTGTAAACTGTCAAGAAAATCAATTTACTGGCATTTTTATCGACAGGATATTCCATAATTTTAATCGATAGCCAGCACTGGGTCCATCGCAAATTGCATTTAATCTGGAGACCAGCAACATGTCAAAACAAAGCCTTCAAAATGAAGATACAGCAAATAATCTAAATCAATCCCTAAATAGGGCAGTCGAGGAGCGGGATGAGGTTGATATTCAGGTATATAGGCGCGCCTTATCTGTAAATCCGAATGACAAATAATATCTTTAAAAGAACAGACTATAGACACGGCTTCAAAAGATATCACAAATGATAGTAAAAATGGTGCAAGAACGTCAAACAATGAAGAAATAATTGTGGACAAAAATGCTGCGCAAGACCACATAGACCTTAATCAAATGGACAATGATGAGCACAAGGGAATTGGTTGCTTCTTGAACGCTAATCCACCTCTACGCATTGCAGTGCACGGCATGTCGGAGCTGGTCAACTCACGGCTCTCGGCCGAAGCACTGGACATTTGTGTAGAGCTGCTAGAGGCAGGCGTGCCGCCAAGGGCGCTGTCGGAGATTGTGCTACATATTCTAGACGTCAAGGTGAAGAATTACGAAAAGGAACACGGTCCCATATTACCATAGGGCATTCAGAGATCAGCGTTAATCCTAAAAACATTATGCTTCAAGATAACGCTTATCAACACCTGAGTGACACCTGCAAACTACAGTCGTCTAGACGCAAGCAAATCGAGAGATTAGCGTAGCAACAAAACCAATCAATTGCGATACCATAGTTAATTATATTGTATATATTTTTGTTACTCTAAAAAATACAACCCGCTAAGCTTAAATGTTTAACTATATTGTGCTAAAATTAAAGTATTTTTATCAACTAAGTTCTTAATGCGTCTTCGTGCCCACAAAGAGAACACGCTGTTCATCTTCTGCGGTCATATCCTTGTCGCCCCAGCCCCATAGCTCGTGCGATCCATCGCCAGTGCGACGTACTCGCCGCTCCACCGTCTCGGGGGCCACTGACTTCAGGTCGTAGGCCCATCCAATTTTTGCGAATAGATCTATGAACGCTGTGGTCATGTTCAGCGAATAGTTGCCCCATTCGGCGGTCTTGTAGTCCCAGGGGAAGACATGATGATAGTTGTGCCAGCCCTCGCCAAATGTAAAGGCCGAGACATATGGACTCTGCGACGGATTAATGTTCCTATACGAAAATCATATTTGTATTATAAATATTTATTATGATCATTATAAAAAGCTTTACGTACTTGTCGTAAGGACGTCCGCCGAATTTGTGAGCCGCGCTATTGACCAGCCAGGTCATGTTCAGTTGGAAGCACCAGCGGAACATGGTGGACACGAACCAGGAACACAAGAGCGACTCGTTCCAGCACATCATGGGTATGACCGTTGGCAATATAAAGCAGGCCAGCGGCATGAGAACAAAGTAGTGTCTGTCAAGTGGAGAGATCAGAGATTACAGTTAGACTACCTCTCTATATAGAGCTTAGCTCTAGCTACTCACTTGAGCTGGAACATGAGTATGCGATCGGCGCGCAGATCGGTGAGATCCAAGCTCTTGCCTTTGGCCACCACATCGGGATGCTTCTTGCACAGCAGCCAGCCGACGTGAGAGAAGAAGAAGCCACGGGTGGCATTGTGTGGGTCGGCATCCGTCTCGGAGAACTTGTGATGCACGCGATGATCGCGCGCCCAATGGAAGGCGGCATCCTGGAAGGCGATCGTATTGAAGGTGATCAGGATGAGGCGCAGCGGCCACTTAGCCTTGTAGGAACGATGCGCCCAGAGGCGATGAGCGCCGCCCGTGATGCCCAGCATACCAGCAACGTACAGGAAAATTGCTAAAGAGACAAAATTTGATGAAATTAAAGGCGGATGGAGGAGCACATCTATGCAACTTACAGAACAGAATTGTTTGCCATTTGGCTTGGGTCAAGAGCAAATATCCGCCGTAGAGCGCAGCCATGTGTAAGTAGGCAAAGAGGATTATGTTGCGCCAAACCCACTTCAATCTGCGTTTCTCGGCCTTCTTCAGCTCTATAACATTCACGTCCAAGGCGCCATCGTTCGTCTCCGCATCGTCCTCGAAGAGCACGCCCGTCTGCTTGGAGGCTCCAGCCTTGGAGTTGATGAGCACTGGCCCCACTTCCGAGTTGCCTGTCAGACCATTGGCCGGGCTATTCACAGCATTTGGTGGCATTCTTCAAAGTAACGCTGGAGAGAATAAAAAATACATATATAAATATTTCGAATTCGAAGAATCTTTTTAAGCTAGAGTTAGTAAATTTGGTGAGTTGCTTATACGTAAACTAAACTTTTCTTTTAGTTCTTTACATTAAGAGAATATTTTTATAGTGAAACCATATTATACTCCAGCTGATCTCTGCAATTATGCAAGTTTAAGCAAGGTAATGATTTTTATACGTGGCACACACACACATGTGTACATATATACCCATAATAAATGAGCTATATAGTATATAGTATATAGTATATATCACCTTATCTATATTGAGTTCAGAAAAACTATTACATGGTAGAAGTATTTGACTCGTACAACAAATGTATTATCTTGGAAAAGTTAATTTACCTGGGTTAGCTTACCTATTTGCTGGGTTCAAAAGTACTATTATATGGTAGAACAAATTTTACAGTCGTAAAAATTATATGTTTTAAAATTTTCATTATCGTCAATTTTTATGAAAATTAAAGCGAGCAAATTATTATTATTTTTTAAAGTAAACTGTTCAATCTAAAAGTCTTTAAAATCTGAGACAGCATTTTTTGCACGTAACATATTTCACTTATAACTCTGAGAGGAGCACATTTTGAATATTTAATGATTCATAATTAACTGCACTTTGTTTTTTTTTTTTACATAATTGTAGCTAGTATATATAATCAACATTCAATTTGAATTGATTAATATTCCAAGTCCCTTAGCAGCTGAAATACTCACCAAACCCTCTGTTTAATTGAGGAGTTTTTGTAAGCGGGAAAGCCGTATCGACCTGACCCGGAATGAGTTGATTTCTTACTGTGTCCACGATCGGACAGGTTTAACAAATGGGATCGTCTTTCTTATTTGGCTTTCTTCTTTGCCACGATATTCGCTTAGGTTTACCTTTGCAAATTATCTGAATTGGTTTGAAAGGGAAGCATCGACTGTTTGCAGTATTTATACTGAATGCAAAAATCGTAAGATGCACTTCATAAAGAAATTCTGATTAGAAATTAATCTCTCTAACGAACTCAACTAATGAGACTTAATGGAATAAATGCAATCTTCGCAATTTCATCTACTCCCCATTGAACTGTGGTCAAACACTCTCGTTGGCGACTATACCACGTGTTGGCCAAAGTACACGATTTGCTACGTCTGGACGCCAGATGTGAATCATAAATGAATTCATTGAAATTAGGGACAGCCATCGCTTATCTCTTAATTAAAATCATTTCAAACTGATGCTCTGAGCGCCATCTACATGTGAGGGCTGTTGATAAAGCTTTCTAAAATTCACTTAAATACCCGGCGATGGCCGTTAAAATACATACTTTTGCCAAACTAAAATTACATTTCATCTTAATTTTATGGATTTTATTATTTAAATGGAGTATCAGCCCAAGATAAGATTTCCGTCTTATTAACAGTTTAACATAAACCAATTAATTGTTCTCTTATGCTTGTGTATTTAAATAAGTTAACAAATTCAAAATTATTCAGTTCTGAATTTCGTGTAAGAATTATGTTATGTACATATTTTAGCGTGTCTCACATATAAACGGAGTCTTCTATTATTTATCTTTGGGCTTTTCAGTTGAATCAGATCCGCTCTCGTCACTGCTGTCCTTTTTGGATTTTTCGACAGGTTTTGGTTCGGCTGCTTTCTTAGATTTGCTTTTGGCCTTCTCCGCCTGCTTCTGTTTTTCAGCCTCAAGAATGGCTGCCTCTTCCTCCTGTTTCTTGACCTCCTTCTGAGCAGCTGCCATGGCCACATCTTCGTCATCCCAATCAGCCATGGAACGATCACGCTTTAGCCACGAGTGTGTGGTGTCTGCTTTGAACGCTGAAATGAAAAGAAAGAAAATATTTAGCTTAGTTTGGCTGGTTTCAGATTACTGAGGATCCACTCACTGTTATTGAACCACTTGATGCCGTTCTGCATGTCCTCGATGATCTCGCGAGACGTATACATGACCTCGTTCTGCACCGCCTGGTGGAACGTTGATGTCTCAAACGAGGCCGAGTAGACGGAGTTGCGATCATGATTGAGTGCGCGCTGCGGAAATTTGGACAAGCACGCGGCCAGCTCCAGGGCATGGCCCAGCGCTGTGCCTGTGGGCACAATGCGGTTAACTAGACCAATATCGTGCGCCTCCTGTGAGCCTACTGGTCGCCCAGTGAGTATCAAATCCAGCGCGCGCGATAGCCCAATCATGGCTGGCAGACGCACAGTGCCGCCGTCAAGCATGGGTACCCCAAAGCGCCTATTGAAGAAGCCTAGCACAGCGGACTCTTCCATGACGCGTAAATCGCACATCAGCGCCAGCTCCAGGCCATTGGCTATGCAGTAGCCGTTGATGCCGCAAACGACCGGCTTTTTAATGTGGCGACGAGTGGGTCCCACAGATCCCTCAGGGCGCATCAGAATATCAACGCTTATCTCCTCCTTCTCGTCAGTGCTGATCTCAAGTATATCAAATCCCGAGCAGAACGATCCACCCACACCATAGAGCACCGCCACAGGCGACGTATCGTCCGCTTCGAAGGCAGAGAAGGCCTCACAGAGCTTCGAAGCGGTTGTCGAGTCAATGGCATTGCGTTGCTGTGGACGATTTATGCCGATTAAGGTGATATTTTTATCCTTCTCAATAATTATGCTCGGAGGCTGTTCCGGTTCCTGTTCTGCGTTAGTTGGGGTCTCTGAAAAAACATTAATTTATTTTATTTACTTTGTAAACATTATGTCACGTTGGTTTTAACTACCTTTGTACAATGCTTTTGTCGCACTAAACATGCGGCGAGGCGCCGAACGTAATTGTTGGCCAATATGCTGGCCCACTTGTATTCCAAATTTGCGGAACATGTTTAAATTGTTAAGGACTCAATTAATTTAGTACAGATACTCGTTAAAGCTTTTTAGCAATCAAAGAACTGCAAATTAAATTCTCAAAACAAATTTCTGAATATCGTATAAAGGGCTGCCACCTATGGTGAAACTATACAGCTGTGATACGATAGTTAATCGCGCAATCGATACATAGTGGTGAAAAGTCGCAATAATCAAAGATCATTTAAGTCGTAATGGGCCTTTCAAAAAAAAAAAAGTATAGGACGGTCATAATTTAGTTATTTATTTAAATTTCATTATATCACTGTTTGCTAGCTTTTGTAATTATCGATAGCTTAAATTTGCAATTTTCCCCACCGCCATTATGCGCGGTTTGATAAACGTAAATTCACCATGGTTCTGGTGAGAAATTTCCAATGAGAAAGCTTTCAAGGCTTGGAGCGCGCCGCAATTTACTCAGTTTGGAGCGGCGTCGAAAAGCGAGCGGTTGATTGTTAGCCAGCAGCAGCAGCAGCTAAGGAGCGGTACCAATATAGAATATTAGATTTTGTGTGTGCGTCGCATATCGTATATAAGTCATGTATCACCTGAAGAGTTTGGCCCGACAGGGAGCCATGCGTCAGCATGAGCTGACCGCCTTGGCGAAGGCATTGCCCACTGCTGTGCTTCAGACGCGCAACTACCAAATTCCCGATCGTCTAAAGGACGTGCCAACTGCGAAGGATCCCCGTTTCTTTGACATGGTTGAGTACTTCTTCCATCGCGGTTGCCAAATATCAGAGGATCGTCTGATCGACGACATGAAGGGCAAGCTGTCGCTGGATGAGAAAAAGCAGAAGGTGAAGGGTATTCTCATGCTTATGCAACCCTGCGATCACATCATCGAGATTGCATTCCCACTGCGTCGCGATGCGGGCAACTACGAGATGATTACCGGCTATCGTGCACAGCACAGCACACACAGGATTCCCACGAAAGGAGGTAAGACACACCACACCAAGCCAAACACAAACGAATATAACAAACATTTTTCGATACGCATTTCGGGTTTCCTTTCGCGTCTCTTTTGCTCTCCTCTCGCTATGTCTCTTTCCACATTATGTCTGCGTCTACCTTTTAGCCGGCATATTTGTTTTGGATTTTGTTTCGTGCTCTCGGCGTGTGGGAAACATCTTGCGAACTGTTGGCAAAAATCGATTTTTCTCTACATCTGATGCAGTTATTTCCTGCCTTTGGCATTATGTAACCAGCGCACTCGTGTCTCTGTCCGCTTACTAACTGTGTGTCCCCATTGGGCATCTTCTCTCCCGTTCTCTCACACTTCCCACGATTTGTTTACATTGACGCTGTTCCCGTGGTAAAGCGTCTGTATTTTCTTTACCGTTAGTCCAGTTGCATAAGCAGCTGGTAGGGCATTCCACGTGCCGCCAATTGATTTCCAAACCCTTCAAGTGTTGTTCACACGCCCTCATACGCCTGCCACGCCCCCCTAAACAACGAATGCTCGTGCGAATTAACACCAATTTCGATTCACCTAGCGCCTTGGCAAAAACAAATTTTCAATAATTTGTTGTTTTTGTCATGTTGCGCTTTGTCTGTATTCTATTTTTAATAACGCTATTTATTATTCCTTTGCTTTTGTATTTTGTTTTGTTTTTCTTTTTTCCAATCGGAAGAAGAGCAGTACAGCGAATAGTGCACAGTGTGACAAGCATGTGTTAATAGGCTCAACAAATAATTAACGAAATTTTGTTGTCAAGCACATGGGCCCGCCCCCTTTTCTATTTACTGTTATACAGTGTATAATAATAATAATTAATAGGCTAATATATGACGTCATTAGCTAGTTAATTGGGCTATAATATATCTTATTTTAAATATTTTAATTAAATATTTTTAGCGTATATAAAAATCTTTAAAAATTGTACGCGACACACGGTCTTATCAGACTTTAGCTAAGCCAAAAAAAAAGTAGACTAGAAAATAACAAAAAAAATACATATATATAAATTTGTGTCGTATCATAGTATATAATTGTGGACGTTATTTTGCTTGTGCCTATTGCTATTGATAGGAGACGACGCCCTCGGGAGGCATGTGGAGCATAAATCGACGAATAAGTGAACAACTTTATGATTTTATTGCCGATTTCATATAATCATTGAAACTGGTTGTAAACAAGTGTGACTTGCTCTTGCTGTTGCCAACCACATGCGCCTGTTAATGATGCCTTTAAATATTTTGATATTTCGATGTTTGTCTAATGGCTGCTAAAATTATAAGCATATATACTAAATTTTTATATTTATACTATTTGAATGTACTCGATATGGGTGCTAAATTGTTTAGCGGCCTTTTAGCGGGCACTTGAAATAGGTTCAAGTTTCATTACTCTAATTAATGTTAATTGCATTCAGTACAGTTAGCGAACGTCTCTATGTATGTGTCTGTCTCTCTGTCTGTGTGTGTGATTGTCATTTATTGACACAAAATGACTTCATAGCTCGGCTCGAATTCGGCAAAATACATTTTGCAGTTTATTCTCTCAACGCTTTGACGTCAAAAGCTAATCATAAAATAAAAGAGAACAAGAGAGTTTAGTTAAATGAGAAAAAACGATTTTTAAATACTCTCTTAAGGCTTAAATGGAATCCCTAACGACTTCTAGCTAATACATGATATAACTACAATATATGTACATATATAATATAATATTGCAGTATAGTAACAGCTCTCTTCTTTGTATTTTAACTGCAGAATTTGGATGTAGTAAAATCATATTCTTTAAATAATTATCACTAATAATTAAAAATTTCATAAGTTCAATTCTTGAGTTATACATAAATGATTTGATTTGATTTTATTTTGTTGTAAGGGAGCTCTCTGTCGCTCTCTGTTTCTATTTGGAAAGATTCCTATGATATTAGATAATATTTTTATAATATTTTCTTATTTTTATTTATTTTTTCTTCCATACTTCTCTTACCTGTTACATGCCTAATAAGAAATTGAAAGTACTCTTCGCAAAACAATAAAATAAAAGCGTATAAAAAGCCGAAAACACAAAAACCGGTTTTCGACGCGCAGCATTGGGTGTGCAAAAAAAAAAAAGAAAAAACTGTATCTCCGTCAATCAGCAAATTTAATTTTAATTTCTTGTGCGCTTCACGTGATGTGCACGTTGTGCGAATAGCATGAGTCACATGTTTCACACTCTAGAGTCTAGACACACTGTGCAGCAAGTGAATCGGGTGCTTGGAGCTGTCTTTATATACTTACAACTTTCTATGTCGTTGAACTGTAGGACAATTGGATTCATTTTATTTGCTAAATGTGAATGTAAAAACAGGCCTATACATATAAATGATATACATACATATGTATTTGTAATGGATTGACAAATAAATAGGACGTTCTCATTAGGCTGCTAACAGCTGAAATATGCATAGACCACAGCATAAAGCATATATGTACATATTTCCCCACTTTGATTACGTTCTGTGTTTGCTTTCAATTATCGAAATTTACTTGGAAATCAAATGATGTTTCCGCTGATAATCTAAGTAATGTAATAATATAGGCGTTATCAATACACGCCTTATGTACAGTAGAGGCTCGTTAAGCAAAGATTGTGTGACAGAGAGAGAGATAGAGAGAGAGAAAGAGTTGTTTACAACAGAAAAATACCGAAATTTTTGTTAAAAACAAAGTAATAAATAAATGGAAAAATATTTTAAAAATATGTATATAAATATTTGAAATGTTTTACGGAAAAATACTAGGAAAAATATATATTTTCAAATAGCTTAACTCTTTTAATTCATTAATAAAGAATATGAAAAAATACTATAAAATATATTACAAGAAAATAAACAAATTTTTTATATTGAAAAGACTCAACTTAATTTATTAAATATTCAGCTTATATGTAAATTTTGTATAGCTTCTAGTTTTGCTTTCCGTGAGTCGACTGTACTTGATATATCAGCATACATACATATATTCGATTTGTTTACAACATTTCTAATCTATAAGGCTACCATTCGCAATTTGTATTCAAATAAGTTGAGTCAATATTTAACTGTTGTGTGAAAACCTACTTTGTTGTTTGTTTACATGTTTTTGTTACTCAAGTGGTAAATATATCAGACAAACTCTCGATATTACCAGTTCCACCTCCCTCATACGATATGTCCATGTATTTGTTCACTTGTTCAAATGCTTCAATTGTGTTGCCCCGAATGCATTAGCGTTGGCTGTTTACAATTATTTTTGGCAGTTCACGACATGTTTGTATGTAAGTAGGCATACATACATAGCTCTCAGGCCATTTCCTGTGCTATCTGGATTCGACTATATCTTATCATATATGTATGTATATAACTTAAGATTTCGTCAGCCTACGCTAAAAATCCAACAAATATATATACATATGTATATATATCATATGGCTCTGTCAGCTAGTCAGCTGATGTGGTCGGACCCCCAGCGAGTCCAACCGGTTTTGTCTATGAATTTGCGATTGCTGTTGCCAATGGCACACAAACACACAAACGCAAACGTACTACTCATAGACGTGGCAGCATATATACGCCCTATACGATCGAGCCCCCAAAAAAGCAAAAGAACTTATCGCGCACGATTGTATAACCTATATAGTATATACCGCATAAGCACATACACACACACAGAGTTATGGGCGTATATATGTGTGTATATATAGCATTCTCTGTATCTTCTAGATTGGCAAGCTCTATGCATAAATAGATTTCTGCTATACGTGTGTGGTAGAACGTAGAACCATGAAAACAACATAAAATAGGAATCACGCGTTTGATTTTTGTTGTTTTATGTTTTTCATTATTTCAAGAAAATATTCGCCGAAAACAAGTAAACAAGCGTCTTGCTTTTCTTCAGTGTAGAGATAAAGCCGGTTATTATTAACGTATCTTGCATGGCCTACAACAGCAACGCGAGAATAAATAGAGCTGAAGTTTTGTTTTTAAGAATACAAAAAATGATGAAAAAAAAAAGTATTTTTGCGCTGTTGTTATGCGCACCAATTGTGGAATGAAAGAAAGAGAAAGGGCAATGGATGAGAAATAGCAAAGAAAACAGGCAACAGCGCATTGAGCTTTCTATTGTTGTTGTTGTATTTTTTTATTGCTTTGCAGAATTTGGTTCGTCAAGTTTTTGTTTGTTTACGCTGCAGTCCAGTGCCGTTACTTTAAGAAGCTGCACTGCTTGGCAGCGTAAGCAGCGCACCAATACATGCATGCATGCGTAAGTGTGTGTGTGCATGTATTTACAGCTGATAAGATTCTTAAAATGCCGAAATCTGCTGCGCTGGAATGCCAAAGCTCAAACGGATTCATGGTCAAGAAATCAAATTGGACGCTTGGCAACCGCATTTAATGAGCAAAAAATAATTTGTTTATTTTCTGCCGTTTTTTTTTTTTTAGGGGGCTTGTCTATTGACAGTATATAGAATACTTATACACACACACAACATACATATGTACATATGCATGTGCGTATGTTACATGTACATATGAGGCTTTAGATAAAAATGATTAAACTTTGTACCGGGTCATTCATATTTTATGGCTTACATCGTAAAATTGAACAACAAAATAACATTTATACATACATATTTATATGAAACGCACGCCACTTGTAGCTTGAGGAAGTTGCTTATCTAATCGTGCAGAACTTTTTTTTAAGATATTTAAAGATAAATGTGACAAACAAGATAAGCAACACATGAAAATACTTGCCCAGTGGACCCAGTTCGCCTTCAAGTATTACGCCATGGCTAGAATGCAGCTGCCAAATGCGATTATGACCCAGTTGCACGTGAGCAGGGAAATGCGAAGACAAATCGTCTCTCAGAAATCAACTTTTGCTTTCAAATAGGTACAGAAAAAGAAACGAAATATCGCATATGTTTTTTTCTTAGTCTATTCTTAGCGCTTTGCAATTGGATTTAGTCCAACATAATATAAACAAGACAAATGCAAAGCTGCTCAGACAGAAGGAATGTATGTACTTTTCTGTTCGATATAGTATACTTGGCTTAGTATAGAAATGGTTTTCAAGGCTTCATTGGGTGCCCAGGCACCACACCTGTCGTATACGTAATGCTTATGCAATTTGTTTTGTTGCAGGCATTCGATTCTCGTTGGATGTGTCACGCGATGAGGTCAAAGCCCTGTCCGCGCTGATGACCTTCAAGTGTGCCTGCGTCGATGTGCCTTTCGGCGGCGCCAAGGCCGGCCTGAAGATCAACCCCAAGGAGTACTCCGAGCATGAGCTGGAGAAGATCACGCGTCGCTTCACCCTTGAGCTGGCCAAGAAGGGCTTCATTGGCCCCGGCGTCGATGTGCCCGCCCCCGATATGGGCACTGGCGAGCGTGAGATGTCCTGGATTGCCGATACCTATGCCAAGACCATCGGCCACTTGGACATCAATGCCCATGCCTGTGTCACTGGCAAGCCCATCAACCAGGGCGGCATTCACGGACGCGTCTCGGCCACCGGTCGCGGCGTCTTCCACGGCCTGGAGAACTTCATCAACGAGGCCAACTACATGAGCATGATTGGTAAGTCCAACTGGCATTGCCATGGATTGGAAGACTTTCATCTAACCATGTTGTGTTTTGCGCAGGCACCACGCCCGGCTGGGGCGGCAAGACCTTCATTGTGCAGGGCTTCGGTAACGTGGGCCTGCACACCACCCGCTATCTGACCCGCGCTGGCGCCACCTGCATCGGTGTGATTGAGCACGACGGCACACTCTATAACCCAGAAGGCATTGATCCCAAGCTGCTGGAGGACTACAAGAACGAACACGGCACCGTTGTCGGCTATCCCAATGCCAAGCCGTACGAGGGCGAGAACCTGATGTACGAGCAGTGCGACATCTTCATTCCAGCGGCCGTCGAGAAGGTCATCAACAGCGAGAATGCGGGCAGACTTCAATGCAAAGTGCGTATCAAAGAGATACGAACAAGACTGTAGGCAAATGATTGATGCGGGCTCGATTCCGTTTGTTTTGAAGTAGAGAAACTTCCACTCTCAAAAGTCTTTATCAAAGTTCTTACTGATTGTAATGTAATCAAATGGATCCATGTCAATTCACGCAGCTAACAGTCTTGTTCATGATGCTTTTCCAGTACTTTTCCTTTATTAAATGCTTCACTTTTCCACTCACAGATCATTGCCGAAGCTGCCAACGGACCCACCACACCCGCTGCCGACAAAATACTCATCGATCGCAACATTTTGGTCATCCCCGATCTGTACATCAATGCCGGCGGTGTCACCGTCTCCTTCTTCGAATGGCTCAAGAACCTGAACCATGTCTCATACGGTCGCCTGACCTTCAAATATGAGCGCGAATCCAACTACCATCTGCTCGGTAAGTTGTTAGGGCCTTTAACTGTATAGACTTTGGCGCACCATCTGCAGTTTCTGCGCACACTATCTATCTATATATCTATCTATCTATCCATCTATCTATCTTATATATATAAGAATATATCATAGGCTTGTACGATCAATCATCCCATTTCATATAAAATTCATGTAAGGGTATATGGTTTTCTAAAATTCGATTATTATTTATTATATTTTATATCTATTAACTCGGGCCAGTTGCCTCAACCAAACCATGTAGAAAAGCAACTGCTCGGCTCGGCTTGACTCTGAAGCACTTGCTCTTCCCGTTTGGTTTCTATCGAAAGACACAAATCACAAAATTGAATATCTCAATTCATTTTAGTGCTCAATCCTCAAACAATATTCGTATCTCCAACTATTATGACCGTACTTTAATTATAATGCCATCTTAGTAATTCGTTGTTTATTCTATTTCTTCTTTTTTTCTGTTTCTCTATCACCAATGTAGACTCAGTCCAACAGTCAATTGAAAGAATTATTAACGACGGTACATTCTTATTATTAATTCTTCTTTTTCTATTATCCTCCTGAACCCACCATAAAAACAAAACAAATGCCTTTTACTGTTACTCATGATGTATACACTTACACCTACACACACACACATACACAGACACACGCCCATTAATTCTTGTTACCCTGTATAATTTAGAAAACTTTTCTGTATGCTCTATTACACAGATATATCTATATATAATTTTGTATATATATATATTTGTCTTTGTAGTTTTTGTTTTGTAGCTTTTGGAGTTTTCCTTTTTCTTTTTGTATGTTACGTTCCTTTTGTCAGCATTATCCGTGCCATCAATGCATTGACACAGAGCTTGAGGATCTGTTTAGATCACACCTGGATATCTCTTGCCAGCTCCCCATCCATTTACATACATATGAATAAATATATACATACACATCTTGTCTGTGCTCTAACTGTGCCTCCATCAGTGCTCTAACCTAATCTGTCTAGTTAACACCTTGGCGGCTGCTACTAACGTCACAATTATCCAGCATGAGGCATATTGAATTAATCGCTTTATTTGTTTTTTGTATCTCTCTCCTCTCTCTCTCTCTCTCTCTCTCTCTCCGTCGCTTTCGCTCATCTTGTGAAATGGCCATAATATAGAATCCGTACAAGAGTCCCTGGAGCGTCGCTTTGGCCGTGTCGGCGGTCGCATTCCCGTGACGCCCTCCGAGTCGTTCCAGAAGCGCATCTCTGGCGCCTCCGAGAAGGATATTGTGCACTCTGGCCTGGACTATACCATGGAGCGCTCTGCACGTGCCATCATGAAGACGGCCATGAAATACAATCTGGGTCTGGACCTGAGAACCGCTGCCTATGTCAACTCCATTGAGAAGATCTTCACCACATACCGTGACGCCGGCCTGGCCTTCTAAGCTTCGCAGCTAAAACTTAACTAGTTTATTAATCAACCGAACTCAACAAGCCAGAAACCATTAAGCATATGGCATCGCATCAGCGCACCTCCGTTTTTAGAAAATGTCACAAATGCAAATTAATTTATATAGATCGACAAAGGACTAGCTGAAGCTGAATTTGTTCAATTTTTTAACTTCATATTATGTTTTACATTAAGCTAAACAAAAAACAAAATGAAAAGCGAGCTTGCTTTTACAATGATTATTGTTGATTTTCTCTAAGTTTTTAAGTTAAATGAGCGTTAAAGTGAAGCAATTGCATTTTTCAATTATGTCTCGTAACGTACGAAACGCTCCGTTGCCGCAACTTTTAAAGTAATCAAATATACACATAAATTAAACAAAACAAATATTAAACAATTTGCGTTTTCTCTTTGCATTTAGATTTAATTAAAATTGACAATTGTCGTTGGCCACTAAATTAATCACAATATCAATTTTAGTCTTTCCATTACGTATACATTTTATAATTGATTGGAATGTATGGGAATACTACGATTTGTTTAGATACCAAAAAATATTGGGAGTTACACATAATACTATAAGTACACTTTTCATAATCGTTATTGCGAACGCTACAAAACAAATTACCTGGCGTAAATTGTGGAAGATAGTTTGTGGTCGTATATAGTGGAAAACTTTCAACTTAACTACTAAAAGATTGTTCTGTGCGTATTAACTTGGTGCTTGGTCCAAAATGAGTCCATTTCTTTCATTTAAATGGCCAAAGATTTGGGAAACAGCTGCTGTTTCACATAATCATCAATCATTTCCATGAGCAGGGCGCGCGTCACCTTCGGGTGCTGCAGCACATAGCCAAAGTCTTTCAGTTTCGTATTGTCCAGATTGAGGTGCTTATGATGCAGTTGCTCCTCATCCAAGTAGGGTGTAAGCGGTGTATTCTCAATGCCATTGTGTTGGCAAATATCGGCCCAGGGCGCCATGTGCTTATCATTGATTTCACCCACCGTGTCGCTTGGATACAGCTAGAGCAATGAATATTTAGTGATTAAATATACGATGAGTCATTTATCAAAACTGATGACATACCTTGGTCAAATTGGACATAACAATGCCAAAGTATTCAACATTGATTTCAAATATATCTACTAGCAACTCGCTGATGCTGCCCTGCGTAGACGCTGAGTCATCCACAATGTTGTAGACTTGTCCAGCCGTTTTTGGACTCTGAGCTAATTGCCAAATCGCAGCACACACATCGTTCACATGCACCGTGTTGAGACGCATCGCATCGTTCCACAACAGTTTCATTGTTTCACCCAGAAATTTGTATATGGCTGCTATTATGATGCGTGGCACTGTGGAGTAGTTATAGTATTTGTTATTTGTACAAATGTACAAAACACATTGTGATTGTGATTGTGATTACGATTGCGGTTGCTGACAACGACGTCGACTTACTTAAGTAGCGCTTATCACCAATGCCGTAAACAATTGGCAGCCGCACAATCGTATAACTAAGGTTATTAATCTGCGCCAACTCCTTTTCGACTTTAAGCTTTTGTTTGGCCACGCCCGTCCAGGGCTCTAGCTTGCAGTCTTCTTTCAGCGGCGTCTTCTCGCTGCTGTTCATACAGCCCGAGCTGAGCTCCACAAACCGTTTCACCTGCTGGCTGGCTGCCTCATTGGCACAGTTCATGCTCAGCTTGTAGATGCCCTCCTTATAGACAGCATCATCTTGGTTCGCACGCGTCTCGGCCGCACAGTTGATGACCAAATCCCAGCCTCGATTCGTTGTTGGGTGTGGTGCGAATGCCAATTTGCATGAGGCTGCAATACACAAAGGACCCCAAGCAACAACAAAAATGAAATAAAATCAAAACCTGTTTTAGTCTGTGTGTGCGTATGCGTGAGTGGGTTGCATTATTACATACCGGCATTAATTAAATTCGCGCTGAAAAACTCGACTTTATCATGGGCGAAAGCCTTAGTTTGCTGCTCATTCAGCCAGGCCATTTGTGGCGGCGTCTTATCAACAATTCGTATTTCCTGCGTCAGCTCATTCTTCAGCAAGTAAGTCACCAAGTTGCGTCCAATGAAGCCACAGCCTGCAGATACAAACGAGATAAGTCGCAGTTATCGCTCGGATTGCACTTCCCCACTTGCACTTACCGCCCAAAATTAAAACAGTCGGTTTCTCAGACATACTGCAGCGACAACAACGACGACGACGACGACACAACCAACAGCGTGACTATGACGAATGACTAGACTCTTGCTTCTGTATCGTTTCAAAACCTTTAAATTATATGTAAACGGGACGCGAAATCAAATACAAATGCAAGCGTCAGGGCTGAAGTGTTGTGTTCGTTCGATGAACCGATTGTCCAATCATACAGTTGTTATCGAGCTATAAACATCGCGGTCGCGCTCGCATTCACGAGTGAGTGGTTCATTTCGGAGTTTTTAAATTAATTTAAAATTTTTACACCATTTTATACCTTTTCCATTAGTTCAAGATCTGAGAATTGGAGAGGAATGTAGACGCTTTTTAAAGTATAAAGTATATATTTTCAGTTGTCCTTTTATCTATTGGCACACATGGTAAGTTTATATATATAAAAAGTATTAGCTGGACCACAAGTCGAATTTTGGTGCCTTAAATCCACGAACTATTACATCAGCTTGCCACCACCCAGTCGTTTCTTCTGTTCCTTTAATGCACTCTTCGACCTTGGCATCTGTTGAATTTAAATTCAAAATGGCAATGTCTTCATAGATAGTCAATTCCTTGCAGCACTGCAGCTCAGACTTGTCCGTCTCATGCAACAAATGCAAATGAACATTTTTACAACTACGGGGCAATTGGCTGAGAACTTCCCTAGGGAACAGTTTCCAAGTCTCCACCTGTTGATCTTGCTCGTTTGTCAATAGTTCCAGTTCAAGAAACACATTCGTAGTCTTTAGCTCTGTTGACCACAGCGTGTAAAGCTCCTCGCATGTGAGCAGCTGCAAAAGCGTTTGATTCATAGGCCCATCTGGCATGGAGTGCAGATCGCCATGGTATTTTGATATGGATGCGTGTGGTATATGTATTGTGTATGACTCTGATGGCATAAACCTATTATTTCCAAAAAGAAATCGTAAAGTTTTGACGGTATTGTTGCTCCTGAACGTTCGTCGTATAAGCTGAGAAAAAGATCAATTAAAATATATTCATTTACGCTTTGTTTATATTTACTTCTCGCATATTGCTGATGGCATCCTTGGTCTGCTTAGCCAATGATCGTTGTTTTTGTAGTTGATAGTGCTTAAACGATTCTTGCTTATTTTCATTTTGAGCATCATCATCCCATTTGTTCACATAATATTTGTATGCTTTATACACGAACGGAATTTGACTACGATGGAATAGAAGGAAGTCGAGTATGTTAATTACAAACTCCGCAGCGATGCCTGTGGTTAAGACGTCAACGTCTTGGAGTTTAAGCTCAACATTTTTAGGGTTCTGTGCCATTTATTTATAGTCTCGATAATTTCGCGGGTTTCTTTAGTAAACAAACTTAAGTTGTTTGGGTTAGAGATGAAAATGTGCATACTATCGCCACTTAGGAACTAGTGTGCTCTTGTTACAATATCGATATATGACGAACTTGAGTGGCAATCGATATCATCAGCAAAATCGAAGATCTGTGTAAGAATATTTATTTGAAATACATTTTTTTTATTTAAGATTTACATTATAGTGGTAAAAATAAAAATGTATAAATTTGACCGATATTGTAACAATTTTAAATTTTGTATTGCTTTATTTTATTTCGTGCCGTTAATATAAGTGGAAAGCAGTTTGCGGGTAAAGCTAAGCTAGCTGGATTAATTTTTATGTTCGTAATGTCTTGAGTGCTTATATTGTAACGTAATAAAATATTCGAAAGTAATATGAATCCAAATCCTCTAACTAAATTTTGTCCAATACATGTGCGTTTCCCTATACTAAATGGCAAAAAATGTGGAAGATTTTTTCTCAATTGAAACTTTGGGTGCTTCAGATTACTTTGATTGTCTATATTGCTTACAAAATGATTATCCTCTTCGAACTCTATGCCGGAATCAGAACCTTCAGACATTTTTCTTTTATCATCGGATGCAGATGCTTTCTGAGTATTCTTTTTGGAGCTTTCCTCTAAAAATCTTTCTGGGCAAAAATTCTGAGGGTTTTTCCAACTTTCTTCGCTCATATTGAGTACGTAGTTGTTTATAAATACGATTGTGCCCTTCATTACTCCAAATCCAGATATAACTGAGTCCTCAGTAGCCACATGAGGAACAATGGGTGATGATGAGTAGCGTAGGACTTCGAAGATTGTGGCCATTGTGTAGGGCATTAGTTCCATATCTTCTAAAGTAATACTTCGCTTTCCCTCATTTGAGACAAGATCGGCTTCACATTGAATATGTCTGCCAATTGCTGGATCTTTGGCTATATAGGCAAGGACCAGCATTATCAAGTTCCCAACAGCTGAATGGCCACCGATGAAGTCTTCCAGCATAAATATGATTGTGTTTCGGCACATGTTTTCGTTCTCAATCAAACTTTTCAACAATGCATCGGTGAAGTCGGTGTCTGGCTCCTCAGGATCAATGTTCAGCTCTCGATGCTCCAGAACGCGATCCAGAATGAACTTGCGAATTGTTGTCGACCAATGTGCAATGCGATTTGTGTGCTGTCTGTAAAATGGTGACAGCCAAGGCAGAAAATCCAGTGGATGTCCTTGATTGATTTCCCAAAAGATTTCGTCAAAGAACCAAACAATTTTCTTGAATTCCTCGTCATCATATTCGAATCGCATTGAGCACATATACTGGCTAAACATATTCGCACAGGCTGCATTTAAGATGGGCTTCAAATCGACGGACTGTCCAGGTAAAATAACTTTCTCCAGCTCGCCCAGTAATATTTCAGCTTCTGCACATCCAATCAAGGACATCTTAGAGAAATATGACGACGATTCTCGGGGGGAGCAATGACGTCTAGCTAAATTTCGTCGTTTTTGCTGCAATTGTGACCATTCGCACAAAGCCAGGGAGTTATTACGGTCACCTCCAAACAGTTTATGATAGCGTAGGAAATCCGGACGGCCACCAAAGAATTTACCATTCTTATTAAGAACTTCTCGTATCAGATCCAAGTTGTTTACGACAAGACAGCGCGTGTGGCCAAGTGTCAAAGAGTAAATGTCGCCATAACAATTTGCCAATGTTCCGAATCCTTTGAAGGGATTGTCGAACTGGCCAATTATATCCAAATTACCAAGAATGGGCCAAGGATGCGGGCCAGGAGCTTGCTTGAATGCACGTTTAAGTTTTTTTCCATTCGGCAAAACAATTTCCACAATTGCTTTTCTTTTGCATTTAAATAATATTAAAATATAAGACGATACGAACAAAATCAGGACAATTGTGATGAATAAGTATAACACATTGAACAACATGTTGATATGCAGGCAGAGTATGCACGTATCTTAAATGAGTTTAAAAATAAATACATTAAGAACAGGTGGATCAGCAGGTGTCTCAATTAAATATCTGTTGATAATTCAACTACATACATATGTATATCCAATTGCTAAGAAAGGCATACGTTATAAGTATCGCTTCTCTGTGATTGACACTTTTTCTATCACAAAATATTTATTGTAGTTACTAGCATTTTAGCTAACTCTTAAACGATCTCGTTATGTCGGCTTGTAATGTCCTTACTCTTCGTGGTGAATATGTTGAGTAAATTGTAACTTCTGTAACGAGACGCTATGTTAACAGCGATGCCATGTTAAATAGTGAACCTTAGCCTTAGATAACACTATTCGCTAGCTGCTCATCAAATGTTTCTAAAATATATGTGTAAAAAATAAAAAGATGCCCAATTCGTATAAATACAATCAACGAACACTAATGGGACTCATTTTCTTTGCAAAGTTAAATTTAAAATAAATAGTAGGCGCCAGAATTTGATTCTCGTGCTATGCAACCATGGTTGACATGGAGTGTACACACTGGCATCGTAGCCGCAGCCAACTTCAAGTCGGTTATGACTAGTAAAAATCTGTTTGTGTTGCCGACAGACTAAATTCATTTTCATTTGAAGATATTTAAGTAAAAACGTAAAATGGTAAATTAGCTCGGAAACGGCTGGGACTTTTAAGTTTATTGAGTGCTTTGTTTTTGTAGGGACAAAATCAGTCGGCACAGGGTGGCACTGGAGACAAGAAGGATGACAAAGACAAAAAGAAGAAATATGAGCCACCAATTCCCACTCGCGTTGGCAAAAAGAAGCGTCGGGCAAAGGGTCCAGACGCAGCCATGAAGCTGCCACAAGTGACTCCTCATACTCGTTGTCGTCTAAAGCTGCTCAAATTGGAGCGCATCAAGGATTACTTAATGATGGAGGACGAGTTTATTCGCAACCAGGAACGACTGAAGCCACAAGACGAAAAGAACGAAGAAGAACGCTCGAAGGTTGATGACTTGCGTGGCACACCAATGTCTGTGGGCAATTTGGAGGAGATTATCGATGACAATCATGCAATTGTATCGACATCTGTGGGCTCGGAGCACTATGTTAGCATTCTCTCCTTCGTCGACAAGGACCAATTGGAGCCTGGCTGTTCTGTCCTATTGAATCACAAGGTTCATGCTGTAGTGGGTGTTCTCAGCGACGACACAGACCCCATGGTTACGGTCATGAAACTAGAGAAAGCGCCACAAGAAACATATGCGGACATTGGTGGGTTGGACACTCAAATTCAGGAGATCAAAGAATCTGTCGAGCTTCCGCTAACTCATCCTGAATACTACGAAGAAATGGGCATTAAACCACCAAAGGGAGTTATTCTATATGGTCCCCCGGGTACGGGTAAAACGCTTCTCGCCAAGGCCGTTGCCAATCAGACCTCTGCGACCTTCTTACGCGTCGTCGGCTCAGAGCTTATACAAAAGTACTTGGGTGACGGCCCGAAGTTGGTGCGCGAATTGTTCCGCGTTGCAGAGGAGCACGCGCCGTCCATTGTCTTCATAGACGAAATCGATGCAGTGGGCACAAAGCGTTATGATTCCAATTCAGGCGGCGAACGTGAAATTCAGCGCACCATGTTGGAGTTGCTGAATCAGCTAGACGGTTTCGATTCTCGTGGTGATGTCAAAGTCATCATGGCAACGAATCGTATTGAAACACTTGATCCAGCGCTTATACGTCCGGGACGTATTGATCGTAAGATTGAGTTCCCCTTGCCCGATGAGAAGACCAAGCGACGCATTTTCACCATACACACATCGCGCATGACACTCGCTGAGGACGTGAACCTGAATGAGCTAATTATGGCCAAGGATGATCTTTCCGGTGCCGATATTAAGGCAATTTGCACAGAAGCAGGACTGATGGCATTGCGTGAGCGTCGCATGAAGGTGACCAACGAGGACTTTAAGAAATCAAAGGAGAGCGTTTTGTACCGCAAAAAGGAAGGCACCCCCGAAGGACTGTATTTATAAGTCAGATCAATTTTTGAGTTAACATATATTATAATTCCTAATCACACACAAGCATTAAACCAGGATAATCTTAATCTATCAAATCATTTTCCTTGTGATTTGAACAAATTTGTTGTTGTGTGCAGTGCATCGGCGCAGTGTTCTAATAAATTGTCTACATAGGCATTTTGTTTTTCGGATACAATGCTGAGTGGTTCACTTTGATGCTCCAAATACTTGAAGTGGGATTTGTCTGTAGCTTTTGCCAGCTTCATTTCCTTATATGCCAGGTGCTCCTTTGCCAGATTTTCGTCAACATTTGCTTTTGTTAATGTATCGTAGAAGGCTGATAGTTTAGTTAGTTCTATGCCAGTCTTTAGTCCATCTGCATAGCCTTGGTCAAAGCTGCTCTGAAAACTTTGTTCGCGTCCATCCGCAATTCCATCCGCATAATTAATCTGCAAGCAAAATGTTTTATTTCAAATGGTACGATGACAGCTGATTTTATTAACAGTGACTGGCACTTAACAGACTGCTTCTTCTTTATTAACAGACGCTGTTCGTAGAATCGACAGCCAAGCAACTCAGTTCAAAGCACGCTTTTGTCTTACCTTTTCTACTTTTTCCTGGATTCGCTGGTAATTATTTCTGTTGACGGCTTTAAAATCGGTTTCGTCATCAGAGCTGTGTGTTTGTGACATTTTAGCTTTGTAAAACGTAAGTGATTGTCAAGACGACGCACCACAACTATGTTTCGGCTATAGAAAACCAAAACATTTGCGTAAATGTGTTTCTAGAGCTTAACAGCACAATATCAGTGTTGCTCCTCATTTAAAGTAACTCCACATGTCAGAAATATTTATTACCATCAGACCATGTAAACATTCCGTTTACAGATCACAATGGCAGCCGAGGTCGCTCAACTGTTGCTGGCGGTAATCCAGGGAATACCAGGAGGAGCGACAAACGATGACCTAACTAAAGCGTTGTCAGATATGCCCGCAGCCTCGCGGGTTGAGGGTCTAAATGTATTATTGAAGCAAGGTGGCATAGAGATTTTGAAGAAAGGAGAGAAACTCATTTATCGTGCCAAGGATCCGGAAAAGAAGAGTGCACTGCCCAAAGATGCTGATAATGAAGAAAAGGTGGTCTATAGTATAGTGGAAGAAGGTGGTAACAAAGGAATTTGGATACGTGATATACGCATGAAGTCTAATTTGAATATGACCCAACTTAACAAAATTCTCAAGAATCTGGAAACCAAGAAACTTATTAAAGCGGTTAAATCTGTGAAAGTAAGTAAGTTATTGATATCTATAAAATCCGAACTAAACAATTATAATTTACATATATAAGGCAAGCAAAAAGAAAGTCTATATGCTGTATAACTTAGAGGCGGATCGATCTGTGACAGGCGGTGCTTGGTATCAGGACCAAGATTTTGAGGTCGAATTCGTAGATGTGCTGAACCAACAATGCCTGCGATTCCTCCAAATGAAACGTGAGAGTGCCGAGAAGAAACGCGATGGACCACTGGCGTTTAAGCAAATGTCTTGCTGTACTGTGAAGGAAGTACACAAATTTATATCGGATTTGGGTATCAGTAAAGTGAATTTGGACGAGGATGACTTGGAGACAATATTAAAAACCGTTGTGTACGATGGTAACGCGGAACGCATTCTACAATCAGATGGCACGTACGTCTATCGTGCGGTCAATTTACCTCTGCCGGCCCCTGGTTTTGTGCAAATGCCGTGTGGCATCTGCCCTGTGATTAAAAATTGCTCCAATTGTGGAGATGTGACCGCTATTAATTGCCAATATATGAATGAATGGTTAGATTAAATATGCGAAGAACTAAATTTTCTGTTATTGCTGTGTTCATTTAAATTTATTTAGCGCGCCTTCGGTTTTCCCATAGGAGGCAGCTACACCCAGCTTATCGATTAATCGTGAGTTCGATAAACTTTGTTCGGCCTGGAAACAGTAGAAATACGTGGCTGCCGATTCTGTTGCTGTCTCCACAAAAATTCCAGCAAAAGCTAAGCACAAAATTAAAATTAATTTAAATATATATTAAATATGCGATAAAACAACTAAACGCCGCCTTTTCGAATTACAAGTATCAGCCTAATATCTCTACATAGAAACACGACAAAGAACGACAATAACTACTTAGCCTACACAAAATGGGACTTTGCAAGTGTCCAAAACGTTTGGTGACAAACCAATTTTGCTTTGAGCATAGAGTCAATGTCTGTGAGCACTGCATGGTTCAGAGCCATCCCAAGGTGGGTTGATACATGCGTTATGATATTATCCCTGTTAATCAATTCTTTGCAGTGCATAGTGCAATCGTATCTACAATGGCTACGTGATAGCGACTATATATCCAATTGTACGCTCTGTGGCACCGGCCTGGAGCAGGGCGAATGTGTGCGCTTAGTGTGCTACCGTATGTAAAATTACAATTTCTGGAAAACCACCATTTTCAACGAGATGGTTTTCGTTTTAGATGTTTATCACTGGGACTGCTTAAACGCACGTCAAGCCAGTCTGCCTGCCAATACAGCGCCTAGTGGCCACCAATGTCCGAGTTGCAATGTGGAAATTTTTCCCACATCGAACCTGGTGTCACCAGTTGCAGATGCACTCAAACATTATCTGTCACAAGTGAACTGGGGTCGAAGTGGATTGGGCCTTGCGTTGGTAAACTTCGAACTGAATTTCATATCACGCTCATATATTAATAAAAAATTCGACTTTCAGCTTTCAGATGAACAAAACAATAGCTTCAAGGCAAAAGCGATTAATAGCCAATCGGCTGTTCCCAATATTACCAAAGTGCATCATCATTCCTCCGGCGAGCGTGAGCGCATGAAACCGAATGGAGGTATTGATAGCTCCAGTCCACATTCCGTGCTGCTAATGGATGCCTTTAATCCGCCTAGCTCTGGTGACATACATGGTCTGTTAAAGATCCTACGCTAATATGTGCTTCTCTTAAACAGACTTAATTTATCTTTAGGAACTAGCAGCAGGCGTCCCTTGCTGCCCCGACAGCCGCCGATTGGCGGCACCGATCGCGATGATAATAAATATCAACGCCGCTCGCCGGCCGAGCTATTCTCCCGTTGGACGCGACGCTTTTATGCACCATCTTCGCGTCCGCCGTGGCGCCGCACCTGGTTCTTGGTACTCAGTGGCATTTTGGCCTTCATTCTGTTTGTATATATAATGGCAGTGCTGGGTCGCGGCGGCAACGATAGCTTGGATGACAGCTGGAATAATCCAAACCCAAAACAAAACCACTACGAATAAGCATATATATGTGTGTATCGCCTCATCGTATATCCGAAGAGTCCTTCCCCTTGTTAAAATCAAAACTTATTTATGTAACCTAAAATATTGCAGAAGAAAACTTAATACTAAGCTTTCTAACGTTTTAATCAACATGCGGCTTTTGCAAAATTTGTACACCACTAGCCTTAGGTGAATTTGGAGCTTTACGTTTGGGCGCATCCAAGACCTCGTCGTATTCGTGTAGCTTTTTGGCCAGGAAATACATCTCGGCCAGCGCTATTACCAACGCGACAATTACGCCCAGTAAAATGCGGAAACCAAAAGGCAGTGGACCAACCATCAAATTAACACCAAAGAATCCAAAAGTAAATCCAGCGGCCACCGAGAATATGAACTGGGCCACAGCTATAATTTGCTTATTAATACTTTTCACTGAAAGAGAGAAGGATTCACAATTCAACAATTAAGTGTGAAATGATAACATCGACCAACTTACATTGGTAGGCCACTGTGTCCTCGGGAATATGCTTGAGTGTGGCATCAACATTTTTGGTCATTTTATGATACTCGCGATTTTGTTGCTCATCCCGCAGCCGCTGGCATCGCGCCTCCAGCTCGGGATTGCGAGGTTTGTACTCATTCTCCGGCAATATGAGCTCGCAACTTTCAATTAACTCATATAGAAATACATTAGTTATATTCTTCTTACGTAGTTCGATCAAAATTGAGTTAAGGATGTGCAAATCGTTTAGATATAAAAAGTCGCCAGTAAGAGGCTTCTTTTGTTCCTCCTCTTCCTCCTCCTCTGGCAATTCATTAGTTTCTTGAACGTTCGAAGGCACATCTGGTAAATTTGCAGTCAGTTTGTTCAGCAGCTTTACATCGATTTGTGGTCGCTTACAGACTACTTCATCATCTCTTATGATTTTAGTACTATTGGCTATGCTATATCCGTTTTTCTCTAGGATTTTAGCCAAATTAGCAGGCAGCTCTTTCAAGTGTTCCTTCTGCTCGCCCAGGAAGTCCAACAGTTTCTTCGATGGTCGTAGTCGAACGCGAGTGTCCACAATAGTTGACTTCAGCATGTTGTATATATACTTATTTGTTAATGTTTAACTTTAACTGCAAATCCGAATAAAGTTCGGCGATTTCCTCCTCTTTCTCCAAGAACGAATTGTCAATGCGTTTGTAGTTGTGTTGCAAATTGTTCAGAAATTCCGCTTTACGTTGCTCACGTGCTCGTCTTGCGTCCTGTAGCTCAACGCTGGGCTTTATATGCAAAACGAAATGTTTAAAAACAGGGTTTTCTCCTTTTTTTAAAAACATACTTACTTTTCGCTCAACTTTGGCCTTCTCTAGCAAGGTGTCAACGCCGTTCAGCAAATTGTTAACAGCTGTTGAAAGTTCGGTAAGTCTTTGGTTACCTAATGCAATGCAGCGCTCGGAGAGATCGTACTTTAATGAACCCACAATTTCGGTGACCTGGAAAAGGTTTTCGACTTCGCTATCGTCGCGTTTCTGTTCAAAATTATCCAAGAATCTGTCGATTTCGCCGTTAACAAATACGCGATGGTCTAAAATGCGATGCGGCACTTTGTATAGCTCTGAAAGTGTCAAGTTTCACTTGAGTACGTCTTCCAGGTATAGCTCTGAAAAAACACGTACCTCTCCCAACCTGGCTTATCATTATTTTTCTTCACAAAACACCAAATTTTTTACATCTGTCACATGAGTAGGTCAACGATATACCAATCAGAATCGATGTGTAGATACGATGCGATAAATGTAATATTTGCCATTGATGATATTCCCCTTGATAGTTTCATTACAATATTTAAAATTGAATCTATAATGGGATATATTCCAAGGTAATATGATTTACAATATAGTAAAATTATTGCAATTTAAGATGCAATTATGAACTGAAATTATAATTTGTAATTGTTTCCCGCAGAATCGCGATTTCAAATGTATGTATATCGATAGTTGCAAATACAACCCATCACAGCAAACGCGACGTGCAGAAAGTCATCCACCATCTGCGGATCACAATTTCGTTAATTTTTCTAATATTCCCACCATGAGTGAAGAGTTTAAACTGCCAAAGCGGTCACGTAAGCGTACGCGTGATGTAAAACGTAAAGCCCGCCCTGAGCTCGATGGAGAAAGCGCATGGATGGCGATGCGGTATTTTGAGAAGTTCGAGCCATTTTGGGACTTCGTGGATAACCTGGAAAGAATCGACTATAAAACGGTAACATGTGAGGAGTTTATTGAAAGGTTCGAACGCCCCTATCTGCCCGTAATAATAACTGGCTGCGCAGACGGCTGGCTGGCGCAGGAAAAATGGACACTCTCCCGCCTAGCGAAAAAATATCGCAACCAGAAATTCAAGTGCGGCGAGGATAATGAAGGCTATAGCGTTAAAATGAAAATGAAGTACTACATCGAGTATATGCAAGCGACGCGGGACGATAGCCCCCTCTACATATTCGATAGCAGCTTTGGCGAACATCATCGTCGGAGAAAGCTGCTCGAAGATTATACGGTGCCTAAATATTTTCGTGATGATCTCTTCAAGTACTGCGGCGAGGAGCGGCGGCCGCCATATCGATGGTTCGTCATGGGTCCGGCTCGTTCCGGCACCGGCATTCATATAGATCCGCTGGGCACCAGTGCATGGAATACTCTAGTACGTGGCCACAAGCGCTGGTGCTTGTTCCCCACGCACACGCCTAAGGATCTGCTCAAGGTTACTAGCGCCATGGGAGGCAAGCAGCGAGACGAGGCCATCACCTGGTTTAGTACCATTTATCCTCGCACTCAGCTGCCCTCGTGGCCACAGGAATACAAACCCATCGAGGTGCTCCAGTGTGCTGGCGAAACGGTGTTTGTGCCCGGCGGCTGGTGGCACGTTGTGCTCAACCTGGACGACACCATTGCGATAACGCAGAATTTCTGTAGCTTTACGAACTTTCCATGTGTCTGGCATAAGACGGTACGAGGTAGACCCAAATTGTCAAGGAAGTGGCTACGAGTGCTGCGCGATCAGCGCCCGGAGCTGGCCCAGATAGCCGAAAGTATTAATATAAATGAGAGCACAGGCTTCGCCTCCGATAGTTCAAGCAACTCTAGCTCATCCTCGTCGTCCAGCAGTTCATCCTCAGACACGGACGCCGACTCAAATACGGACAGCGGCCAGGAAAGTCTCACGGCAAAGAAAAAGAAGAAGCGGCGAATGGCTGGTACCGAAGATAGCGTCAGTGCGACGGTGCCCTCGCGCTCTTGATGTCGGCACAAAGCGAAAAGAAACGGCCTCCTGCTGCGGCTGTTCCACCGTCAACTGTTTTTCTGTCGCCGTGTGCCACGTTGTCAAAGTCCGTGTGGTCAACAATCCTGCCAGAACAGCTAGCAGGGCTAATCCAGAACCCAATCAAACCCTAATTCATGTTTTAGAAATATTTTTCTACATAGACAAGTAATAAACCGTGTTGCCGTTAGCAGCTTAATGTTAGCTCCAATAGTGTACTTTATGTTTATTGAAAGCCAGTTGATCCGCCAAGGATAATTAGCCAACGACTTGAATGCGACATAAATAAATTCAATATATTTGTAAAAACTGAAATGATGTGCTCCAATTATTTTAGTCTATACACCTAGCAGAAGAGTTCTTTAAAAATGCAGTCGATTTGCTTTTATACAAAAGTTTATCATCTTTCCTTTATTATTTTTAGCGTTTTATAAATTGTTTTTGTTTTCCTCCATGCAACTTAAAAGATGTAAATCAACAAATTGTATTGTTCGTGAGAATGTTGATGGCCTTTTGGAGAGACGAAATCAAAAAGCTGACAGACAAATTCAAATGTTTAAATAATAAAATTTATTTATGGAACATAAGCAAGCACATGGTCCTTAAAAAAATCACCTTTTAATTCGCTACAATTTTTTATTCATACATAATTATTTTTAAAAGCTTTTCCCACGCATTCCTCTCAAGTTTTCCCATTTTTATTTTGTTTTTTGCTTTTGACTTTGTTTTTATTATTTTGGCGTCCTGCGTGTATTGAATTTTTAGAAGTTTTTGCACTTTGTGATTTTTTAAAAAAATTGTTTTGCTTTTATTTCTTATTTATGTGTTTTATTATTTTTATTTAATTTAGTTCCCTTTTGCTTTTATATTTACGATTTATTGTTTATCATTGTGTAAAAATTGAATATTGCGCTTGCAGCTTCGAATTGCTTACTGTTTCTGGTTTTTGTCCATTCTGAATTTAATTGATGTTTTGCTAGCCAAGTTCTCTGTCTGTGTTTTGTTGTGTGATTGGTTGTTGTTGTTGTTGAATTTAGTGTGTTATTGTTTGTTTATGTTAATCAAGACTTAATCAATATACTGCGCTAACCAACGGAAACCCTCGCCATAACCTTGTCGCTTCAGCACAGAGCACATGAACAATTCCAACGGGCGACCAGGCAACTCGGAGCGTGCAACTTTGCCCTGAAGAGCCATGCAAATATTTAAATGAATAATTGCGATAATTATATATTTGAAGTTGATGCATACCTTGCCGGTCGTTAACTGATACAGTCCAAACACATTTCTCAGCTCGTCCTCGCTGGCCGCGCCAGGCTTATCAATTTTGTTGCCCAATATGAGCACCGGGCAGTTGGACAGCGCCTCATCTGTGAGCAGCGAATCCAGTTCGTTTTTGCTCTCCTGGAACCGACCGCGATCCCACGCATCTATCAAGAATACGATGGCATCCACGGCTGGAAAGTAATCCTTCCAGACACGACGCGCTGCAAGCAACCAAACATTGACAGTCAGTAATCAATCATGGAGGCGCGCTCTACTTCCATCAGTCACAAACTTCATATCAATCAAACAAAACGTCTCTCAACAAAGCAAACACTTTTCTAACTGAAAATCACGCGTAATGCTGTCAACAGCAATTTGTTTTATAGACTTTTAATGTACATATACATACACGCATATTTTTATACGTGAGCTACGCCTCGCCTTGTTTCGCTTATCAATAAAAGTTCATATATAGAAACACACACACACATGTATAAATATATTTGCCCAGTCGCTAGACAGTTTCCGCCATCTAACGCTTACCAGCATGATTATACGGATTCGTTTATACGTAAAATCTTGATGTATGTATGTATGTATGTATATAGATACATATATGCAAGTGCTTTTATTCGTTGTTGATCATTTGCAGTTATTATATTTGTTTTTGCTATCTAGCCCGTGTGCTTGACATAGTGTTTTGTAACAGTTATTGCATGCACAGTGGTTAAGAGTTAATTGCATTATCGACAAACTTTACTATAGTTGAATTTAAATTCCTAACAAATATACAAATGAAAATTATATTCTATTTTCTATTTCTACTTCACTAACAAAACTTAAGCCTTCCTACATTCATCACTTTTCTAAAACTCATAAGATTCGCCTAGTACTTACTAGTTTATTTAAAAATAAATTGTTTAATCTATTTTTCACTCCATATGTTCCCCAAAGTAAAATTACATCTTATGTCTGTGTGCTCAGTAAAGAAATTGTGTTAACAGCTTTCCAATATATAAACTTGTATATATGTATTATAGATTATGTGATATGTAGATTAGTTACGCATTGACAATCGCGTATTTATTATGCAATTCTTGGCGTATAGTTTTGCATATATGTGTAGATGAACGATGACATATTTTTATATACATATGTATCTTAGCCACTGCGACGATGACGTTGTTGTTTTTGTTTCAGAAGAGTGAACGCAACAAATGGCAAAATTTACAACGTGTTTTTATTTGCAAGTATGTGTATGCGTGATTTGTGAATGTATGTGTGTGGGTGACCCCCTGCGCTATATTTTACGCTGATTGTTTTGTTGTTGTGCCGTATTTGTGCTACGTACATATGTATGTATGTTTGTGTATGCGCTTTGTGCTATTTTTAGACGAAGAGCACGTTTTAGCATGCGCAATATTTATGATTTTAATAAGAGTACTACGATTATTAAATATTTAATACATCTTTGGAATGCTTTATCTCTTTATCCAAAGCTCTGTACTCACCTTGAGTGTGGCCACCCAAATCGAATGTAGTGAAACGCATATTGCCTATGGACAGCTCCTCAGATGCTAGCCAAATCAAGATAAGAAGGCAAAGATACATGAGCTACAGAACAATCTGGAGTAGATGAGTTTTACACTTACTTGGATGCAGTGTTGGCACATGCTGCGCCAGCTTATCATCTTTGAGCATATGCAATAATGTGGTCTTACCAGCATTATCCAAGCCAAGGAACAATAATTTGCCGGACTTTTTCCATAGACCTGTGCGCGGATAATTTAGATTTTATGATTAATAAATATATATTTATATATGTATACATATATTAATGAAGACCTTGAGCGTTTGCTGGTCAATGTTAATGTAAAGGTCGAACTACGTTTCAGTTCCGACTTAACTAAATCGACATAAATTCCGAATCAACAGCTTCACCAATTCATATACACACACACAGCTAAACAATTTCATTTGCTTTTGTTGTCTGCTTCTGTTAATGTTATTGTTGTTGCTGCTGCTGCTGGTGTTGCTTTTACTGTTTCTGTTTTGTTGGCAAACGGTCAAGAAAATCGCTCATGTAGCAATGTCAAATTCCATTTGGCCCAGACACTTACCTAAGTATCCCAAAACACCCGTGAACCAGTCCCAAATGAACATCTTGGCTTGTGCTGTGGTTTCTTCTTGCGGGAGTGAGCTTCACTAGCAAAAGGCTGAATGTGTGTTAATTGGGGGGAAGTGCGGTGCGATACTAAAAAATCAGATAGGTATATATATATTATAAACAAACGAGTATACAATGCAAATACAAACAACGAAAAGTGGAGGAATTGAATGAATATGCGTGACTAGTTCAATGTTCAGTTGCGACAGTTTTTTCTTCTTCTTTTTTTGTTATTAATAATCCATTTTCTATCGCTCGCTCGTAACCTAAATGCTGCTATTGAAATGAATTAAATGCGAAGCAGCCTTGACATAAATACATTGGGTTAATACAGCGACAGTTGTTATTGCGTTCAGGAAGTAATGTCTGACCGATTATAATTAGGTTAAAAACCTGTTTCGGTTCTTTGTCAAGCTCTCTTCTGGGCAACACTTTCTTTCTTTACAAGTATATGTTCGTGTGTGTGTGCGGCTACGGCTTTGTCTGTGTGCGCGTGTACGCTGTATTATATGTACGTGGTTAATACGCATAAAACTTTGTAATTTTCACCAAAATGTATTTGAATTTCGTAATCTCGCACTTTGGAGCTAAGCATACTCTGTGCACCCCACAATCATTTCAATTTGCCGCACCCTTGACGCTCGCGCCATACCACTTATTGGACTGGGCTCATATGTATTAAAAAACAGCAGACATGACAATCTGATTTTGCACTACGTGGACACACATTTATAGTTGGCTCTTATTTTAGGCATTTGAGTGCATGATGCTCTCGTATTGCTGCCGTCTTGCTTTGCTGCACTAAATAGAATTGATCGCTGTACTATATGTAACACTATGTGGATGACTTAAATGCATTTTTCGTTTATTATTTACGAGTTATTATTTATTACTTTTTCTGCACACGTTGTATCGAATCGTTCGGAATAAGTTCAATCGAACGACTCACTAAACTGAACAGGCGATAGCCGTTCATCTAGTTCATCATCTAGCTGATTGCTTACAGTTTATCGTTCTGTTATTAACAGAGAGCCGCAAATTGCTTCAGGTTATTATTCTGTTATAAAAGACTAGCTTTTGAAAGAGCCACAATCGATTTATGTGTACATTGCCTTTTTTAATAATATATTTTATTCATTTAAAACAACTATAAATGAAAAATCGATAGATTACATTTATCGATGTGCTCTCGATAGGTATATACATAAAAAGTGCACTTGCGATAGTATTAAGTTGGCTTCAGTTCAACAATGAACGTTCATTGGAGTCAGT